TTTTTTTATCGTTTCTTTGAAGGTCCAACTCCGGAGCCTCCTCCTCCAGAACCTTGCAAGGAACATCTTGATGTCGGTGTCATCATCGATTCCTCCAACAGTATATCCCAACGGGACTACAATATTACTCGTCAATATAGAGTATAACTGGCTGAAAGACTTGAAATATCTGAAGCAGGTACACATATGGCGATCCTTCTCTACAGCTTCGAAGCGCATACTTGGCACAGGTTGGTAATTAAAGCAGTTGAACTGTAACCTGGGCCTTCCTCATCTGCTTTTCTCATGAAAGCAGTTTCAGATGCAAACACATTTACTGTCTAACTCCAAACGGAACTATCCCTTACGTTTATCTTTTGATTAATGTTTCCTGCTTCATTAATTAAGCCCAATCCAGGACATGTGTTGTTCGTGAGGGAATACAGATTTATTCCTTATTTTCAACAATGATTTGTATCTGGTTTCTTGAATTAGAGACACCAATAGGATGAATAAAATATGCGACAATGTTATTCCAAGTCAAGCCATGAAGTATTAAATAATGGTAATTAAGTGGTAAACACGAAATTAAAGACCGTGTTTGACGACACTTCCAAACATCTTGAGAGAGTTGAAAATACGATGGGTGGCGGAGTAATATTTTGGCAGACTTCAGTATTTGAAAATGTGGACACTCTCTTGAGTGCTTGATGATCGTAACAATCTAGTCTATTACATGCTAACTAAGTTCAGATATCCAAACACCGTCATTGTCAGGATTCTCTTTTTTTAAATAGATGATTGATTACTGGACTTGTTTGAGAAGTTATTGTTAATCTCCATTGTTCTAGATTTTCCGATACACAATGGATTGATGCACTACGCTCTAAAGCTAACGCTTTGCCGCACATTCAAGGTGGAACAAGAACAGATAGAGCCCTGGAACTAGCAGCTGAAGATTTCTTTGGCTGGGAAGACAATGGTGACAGACCAGATAAACCAAACGTGTTGATTGTGCTCACAGATGGTGACACGAATGAAGGAAGTAAGCCATTCAACCAAGTGACCCCACCTCTGGATGTGAGTAATAATCAACAAAGTTTTCCTCTTCATCGTTTTTCGACTGAACTTTTTGTTCCAAACTTACATCTTAACATCTTAAAATCCACGATAACCCAACACAAAGCGAAAATTAAATACCACAAAATTGCACCTGACCAAAAAGGGAATGAAGGTTCTTATGTAATTTATCAAAAAACCGAGAAATTGCGTTTTACTACATTTCCAGTCGTTACAGCGGAGCTATTTGACAAGCTGCCATGTGTTTGGAAATGTGGTGGAAACACTATCTTGAGCGTCTGATATATTTTCTTACTCGAATAAGGAGAAAACGGTGCAAAAAATTCGTGAAAGATCGGACCGAAAATGACTTTCTTTGTTCAAACGTGTTGAATTAGTTAGTTAGAAAATTTGGATTCCAAAATTCGTGCTTTGAAATTTCACAGTTAAGGGGGTCCAACATGTCTGGTTCCTGATAAAATAATAAGAAGGGGATTTTGTGATATTTAGTTCTCGATGTGTTGGAATGTCATGAATTTTTGAGTCAGCGCGGCCCAGTGGTAGCGCGCTTGTCTTGAAACTTGGAGGTCAAGGGTTCAAGTTCCTTTTTCACCAATAAGCTAGAGTTGTTTTTAGGTAGATCCTTCTTTAATTTCTCGGCCACGCTTGTAAACTGAGCCAATTGGCCTGCCTACCGACAGCTGGGATTTTTAAACTTAATATGTTTATTTGAAATATATTAAGCGGGTTACTTGTGAACCAGCTACAATAGCTGTAGCTACGCGCTATAATAATCATTTAATTTACGACTGACGTTACACACTAAGCCTTTTCTATACAGGAAGCCGGCGTCAGGAGAATTGCCGTCGGAATTGGTAGTGGGATAGATTTGGGAGAGCTGCAACAAATCGCTAGCAACAACAAAGACGTTTTGCAAGTTCAAAACTATGGGCAATTATACAGCAAACTAGCAGAAATCATGATAATGGCCTGTGAGGAGCAGTATCCTGGTAAGTTAGACAAAGGTGAAACTCGAGTACAAAAGTGGAACGTTGTTCTGAATTGAAACCGTGATATCTCGGTACCTTTAATAAGAAAAATGGCTGTACAGACATATACTAAAACCTCTATTTACAATATGGTTATTAATACAAACGCGAAAGACTAGTACTTACTCTACGTCTCCTCAGAAGGTGTTCAAAACTGACTTGCTCTTTAGCTGACTGGTGAAATCTGTTGGGCAGCTTCCGCAGGGGTAACCCAACATATTTCTGGGAAGCTTGACCTACTGACGATGGGCTAGGCTCTCAACAACGAAGATCTGTAATGCTAAGAAATCTGCAATACTAATTTGAAGTAGTTATTCCATGTCATGATTCTTAGTTTGCTTGTCTTTCAACAGGTGATTGTGGCAACTGGGGACCTTATGGAGCATGCAGAAAGACTTGTGGCGGTGGAGTCCAGCTTCGGCAGGGAAGATGTCCAGCAAACAGTCTTCATTTAAAACAGCAAAAGAAACGCTGCAAAACCAATCTTTGTCCAGGGCAACGTAAGTAGCATGCACTGTCGCAAGAGTGATTATTCCAGCCACTCGTTTGCAAAAGGATAAAGAACAACACAATCTTTGTAACGAAAGTGAACTCAAAGATTCAAGATCTCTGGGCAAGACTTTTTGCCTATTGTCTCGTTATCGTGGACAAATAATTCCCAAAGCAGCAAAGATGAAAAGAAGTCTCTCGTGAAAACAACACGAAGGTGCCAGAGGCTTGAGAAAATTTCTCGCAAACGAGGCTCGGTGGTGAATCAGTAGAGCGTGTGACGCAATCATGCATAAGGTCTACACGACAACTACAGTCGAGCCTCCCGTAAGCGCTAACGGGAGGTGGTCGCTTACGATAGCTTAATTAGACCATGCTGGGTGAAAATTTTTGCCTCATTAGCATATGTAAACTGCAGAGACTTACCCCATGTTTCAATTTTTTTTTCCAAAAAAAAAAAAAAAAAGAATCAATTTCGCGAAAAAATCCGGTCCCTCCCATTGAGAAATTTCCCGGGAATGCTATTATGTTACAACACCTTATCTTCCAAGTTACGCTCTATCATCTGTCAAGTGGTCGCTTACGGGAGTTTAATAACAAAAGAAAATTCAAACTTTTAGCTCTAAAAGTGGTCGCGGTCGCTTACGAGAGGTGATCGTTTACAAGAGGTTTCAAAAATAGTGATTTGACTTGGAAACTTTTGGTATTTTGGAAAACTGGTCGTTGAGGAGAGGTGGTCGCTAACGAGAGGTGGTCGCAACCGGAGGTTCAACTGTACTATCTATACTTTCCACCGTCTATTGCATTTATTTGCCTTTTTTTATCTTTACTTAAACCTTAGAGCCTTGTATTGACAAGGAGGGAGACTGTCCTCAGAGAGCTGCTTCAGGAGACTGTTGGAAAACCGCAAAACCATCGACAAGTTTCTACATTGGAAAAACGTTTCCACTATGGGATAAATGTCAAAAGAGTTGTCGTCGATGCAGTGGTAAGAGGTGGAAGACAAACACGTGTAGCAAACTAATATTCCTCGTCGTTCTTTTATCTATTACAAATACCCTTGGAATTCTTAAGCACGGAAGGCAGCATTTGCTATTGTACTGTCAGTTACCCGTGTCCTTGCTTGGTGCTATACCGTTGAAATTGTTGAGAATAATTTTGCTATGATTTATGGGTAAATGAACCAGTCGCTTTTTTTCCTACGGAGGATGTAAACTGGAAGCAAGTACATTTAACTGTTGCCGGCGAAGCGCGGGAAAACATGATGTACGGGCGAATCCCGATCGGGTTTAGTCTAACTTCTGATTGGCTGAAAAGGTGCATGCACGAGGTTTTCAAACTAGTCAAATTCAAATCCAAAGCACAAATGAAAACTGCTCTATCCGATATTCCTTTTCATTTTGCCGCAGCTGACACCTCATGCCAAGACAGTGATCCGTACATTTGTTCCTATTGGTCAAAGGCACAAGGAAATCGATTCAAATGCAACTTCCGTTTTCGTCAAGGTTACGGAGTAAAGTCCCTGAGAGGTAAGCAGTTTCACGAGGATTTAGTTACTAAATAACAACACTCTATGCATCCCTAACTCGCAACATTCATGAATGGAAGTAACAGTACGTGGAGTTGCAACGCTTTCCTTCTTTGGGGTAAACGGTGTGAAAGTTACTAACTCCTAAGCTTGTTCTTGGAAAAAAGTAAGATCCAGGGGCCAGTTGTTGGAAGGCTGCAAAAGCCTATCCAGTGGATAAGCGTTGACAAAATACACTACACTGTAATTTGGATGGTGACTTATACGGTGGATAGCGTTACACACCCTTTGACCAACTGGGGCCAGACTGTTTGGTTAAATAGTCTAAGTGTGTGTTGATGCTAAAAAGAATTGGACAAACAATGGACACGTCTAGCTCGGAAAGAAAAGACGTAACTGAGCGATAACTACTTGAGCCTCTAAAATGTAACTGCTTTATGTTTATGCTTCCATTAACGTACGGGTTAACTTGCTAATATGACCTGCAACGTTTCTTTCTTCAGACATGTGTAAGAAGAGCTGCGGTCAGTGCAGCGGCGGCGGAGGCGGAGGAGGAGGAGGTTATTATCATTAAATCAGTAGTAGATCTAAGTCAGAGCCCTGGGAAACTCCATCGCCTTTTGTTTTCACTGAATAAGAAACATGGTACAGTTGAAAGGAGACTGAAGCCGTTAATTTCTGTTCTGGTGGCTCCTCTCTCTTAGTTACCTTAAGGTCTGGATTCTGAAGACATGTTGAAAACAAAGGCAAAGCCCCGTCAAACGTCCATAAGTAAAGATCTCCAAACTACATGTACAATTGTTACTTTATTTTAAGGACAATTGAGATTCTGGTGAAAGCATCCCTGTCCCAGCTTACTTTTGGCAGAGGGTCTGAATGAGGGGAGTTTCTCTGATTCCAGTTACAAATTCTGTATTCCTTTGGCCATTTAGCAAAAGATACGAGACTTTCAGAAAAAGATCTAAATCTAATTCGCAAAACCGTACTGACAATGAATCAAACCCATAAATTCTGTTTTTTTCACCTTCTTTTTCAGGTCAGGG